CCACTAGGCTAAATTTTGAACAACATGGTGCTACGGTTATCTCGCAAGATAAACACATGCCTGTTTACAATGTCAAACTTAAAATGATCAGAAACTAATTTCCATGCACGTATTTTATATTTTGATTGGAAAGAAAAGATATTTGGTTATTTTATTAAAAAATCTCACATTATTTGAAAATCAGATTCAGTTCACTTAAAAATTAAACGTGATTCACTTCATTCGTTAGTTTGTTTTTTTTTACTTACCAAATGCACTTTTCTGGAATAAATGCCTTCTATATTCAATGAATTCAATTACTCACTTTTGAGAGAAATAAAAAGCACTATACAAGTGTTGATCAATAAGATTGTATCATTACAATTGTTAATTAATGTTAGTTTGAAAGTTTCACTAAATAATATTTGTTCTATATAATATATGGAGGAGTGTTTGATTAAGTGCATTGTCAATGTAGGGCATTCTGTTAAAAAAATCAGTATTTTCTGTGCAAAATAATTGTTTTGTTTTAGTCTCCAAATATATATATATCAAAATATTTAATTTTGTCTCAAAGCAAAATATTTATATATATATATATATATTATATATATATATATATATATATATATATATATATATATATATATATATATATATATATATATATATATATATATATATATATATATATATATATATATATATATATATATATATATATATATATATATATATATATATATATATATATATATCATATATATATATATATATATATATATATATATATATATATATATATATATATATATATATATATATATATATATATATATATATATATATATATATATATATATATATATATATATATATATATATATATATATATATATATATATATATATATATATATATATATATATATATATATATATATATATATATATATATATATATATATATATATATATATATATATATGTGTGTGTGTGTAAAGAGGGAGGGGAGAGAGAGAGAGAGGTGATAAAAATATAGTTTTAAGGTGTGCTATATATATGAGTAAAACTGGTATACCAGGGATAGAGACTATGCAAATATAAAAGTAGAAGCTGGGGTCAATATTGTGCAGCGACAGTCTGTATCCTGCTTGATCTTCAGCCATGAAGCACAATGGCCTCAGTGCCCACTTTTATACATTTATATATCCACTTTTACACATTTATATATCCACTTTTATACATTTATATATATGTGTGTGTTTGTGTATGTGCGTGTGCATAGTTTTAAACTCGTTCTGAGTCTAATGTGCATGAACATTAGTGTTTCTTCTTTTTATGTACTATTGTTAAACAGGGCCTCTTGGGGTTGTGAAGAGATAGATAATCTATTACTGGATTTTGAAGCAGTTATTTTACAAATGAACACACACGTATATATATATATATATATATATATATATATATTGAACAATAAAAAATATTAAAAAATTAAAATCTTCAGAAACACTGGGTTGTAGATTAATATTCTTTCGTCTTTTTAATTATTATTTCATTTAGTTTCCTCGACTAGTTTCGGCCAAAATGGCTATCATCGGGAGAAAAAATATTTCTGCTTGCTGGTAGCAGTAAACTACAGAAATGAATGTCTTACTGGAGAAAATGAACTTTTGTCTGTAGTTTTCATTTGTTTTTTTATTTGATTTTATCGTTTTAACATGAATCTTTTAACATTCCTTGTATTGGTCAAACAGTCTCTTTTAAGTTGTTATTTGATATAAAAGCTGGATAGATCTATGCTTCTCTGAATTTCCGTGGTCAGTTTGACAGTTTTATTAGTCCTGGAGAGGGGATGTGTCTCTGCTTAGTGTTTGTGTGTGTGTTATTTGGTTCTTAGCGAGTGAGTGAGTATGATATGTGTAAGTGTGTGTATGGCTGTGGGCGTGTGTTATCATTTTGGCTCATTAGGGAGTGAGTGAGTATGATGTGTGTAAGTGTGTATATTCGTGTGGGTGTGTGTATAAGTCTGAGGCCTCCACACACACACACACACACACACACACACATATATATATATATATATATATATATATATATATATATATATTTTGGAAAACTTTTACTTCGACATGTTTTTATCGATGAACCGGCATCATTAAAAAAAAATTATTTCACAAGAAAATCCACATTAGCGAGCCAAAATGTGATTCACATTATGCGAAGGAAAACTTGCTATTTACTTAAACGATATCATAGAAATTTCATTCGGACTAATTTGAAGTCAGTTTTATTTCTTCTGTTTATTTTGTTCCTGTGAAATATAATATTCTTTCTTTGATGATGTCGGTTCAACGGCGAAACATGAATAAAGATGGATGACAATTCCATTTGGAAATACATACACACGTGCACACATAGATACACACACAAACACGCATATATATATATATATATATATATATATATATATATATATATATATATATATATATATATATAAGGTTAATGGTTAAAATTGAATCAAACCAGGAAACAGTAGTATTAAAAAGTGCTCAATGCACGTGTGAAAAAAATAACAGTAAAAGTAAAAATAACATGTAAAGCTTTTAACTTTAAAAATTAGGAACTCAGTTCAATCCGTTATCTTGGTTTCAACCGAACGATTCATCAGGCAATTTTTATCAAATGACCAAAGAAGAAGAAGAAGAAGAAATGTAAATGCATCGGTGTGAGGTGGGGGTAAAATAATATGTCTCATATGCACTTAAGAAAATTTTCTGATATGTAAACAAGAGTTTAAGACTTCGGATTTCTGGTTTAAAAGGTTTTTGGGGTCCGGAAATGTCATAATCGCTAATTTTTCCTGTTGGCAAAGGTTGCAAATATGGCTGTGGTTGTTGTATGGTTTTGATTTTTTTTAATTTTCCACCTTATCAACGGATAGATGTTGTTGTTTTTCTTTTAAATTCCACACATGGTTAGCTAGTTTGATAGAGTACCTAAGATTTGCTAGGTTAAAAGACGGCCTGTAATTGTTCCATCTACATTTAAAAGTACCTTCCGTACATCATATGTACGTTTTATTTTGGTTATTAATATATATGCATCAATAAGTCTATATCCTGGCATGATGTTTTACCTACACTTAAATAGAGATAATGGAATCGTGACTATGTTAGCTACCTTCAAAACGAAGTGATACCTTAGGTTTAAAATGAATTTTAAAAAAAAGAAAAATCTTTCTGGAAGTTTTTATTTTAGGTTTAATTCCAAGCTAACAGGTTGGAATAAGTATTTCCAATAACTAAAATACTTTACTTTATTCCAAATCAGAATCATTTCTGTTCTCATTATCAGTCAAATTTATAAAATCGTCCATATTCAATAAATCTGTCAACACAACAGAATTCTCTTTATTAAAAAATTTTCGAAAATACAATATACTTTTCCGAAACTTTATTTTATGATGGTTAACAGATTTAAAGCTTAATTAATTTGAATTGAAATAAATACTTTTAGTTTAAAATATCGTAGAAAGGCATTTTTAACACGGAGTGGATGTTTTATGAGTTGCTGACAACCTGATGTTTGCTACATTTAAATAAAACAAGATACTTTATGCAAAAATTTCAACATGTTAATAATTTGGTATATTTTATACTATAAATAAAAATTTTATGAACTTGCTCTAAGCAGATATTTTATGTTTTCACACTTTCAAATACGGAATTTCGACGGTATTGAAAACGCGAAGTAAATCTTTTGTAGAATGTTTTCTAGACATTTACGAATTCAGTAAATATATAAAAATAGAGAGCCGTGTAAGACAAGGATGTGTCGTCTCCCCGGACTTATTCAACATTTACGGTGAGGTCATTCTGAAAAAAATTAGAAATTCCTTCAAAGTTTCCTTACTGGCGGCCATAACATTAGTTATGCAGACGACACAGTTTTGACAGTAACTAAGTGGTTTGGGCTACTGTAACCGGGTAGGACAATCTAGCAGGTAGCCGTAATGGACTGGTACTCGTCATAGTCGTAGGCAATAGGAGTAGGCAATAAGCGTAGACAATAGGCGTAGACCAATAGGCGTAGACCATGTACCTCCACATCAGTCTGTATTTATGGCTGACACCAGCCAATCATATTACTGTGAGGGGGAACCCAGGTGTATGCATATTCATTACATCAGTAGTGAATGTTGAACAATTTCCTCTAGAAAAGAATTGAAGCAACAGAAATTTTAAAATGATGCTGAGAATACCATGGAGTGAACATGTGAGTGATGATGAAGTTTTAACAGACATTTTGCCATTTCTAGGGCACATAATGAGTCAAGAGAACTTAGAAAATTTAACACTGACAAGACATATTGAATCCAACAGGGACGACGGAAAGCAACGCATAATCTACCTAACGAGCTTATGTAAATTGTTGGCAGAACAGAGATTAGAAGAAATTACGAAAACACAAAATTTACTAAGAGCTATAAAGGACAGGAGAGGCATGATCGCTCACACCTTGAAGGTTTACGGAACAAAAATGAAGAAGAATCCAATATAGTCCAGTTACATTCAATAGTTTTCTTGAAAACTGACTTGAATATACGAATTGTTTATTGCTTTTTCGAACTTAACATTCTTAAATTTTCGTTTTATTCCTTTCAGTGTAGATGTTATTGATTTGTTTTTTACGGTTTATCAACCTTTTTGCAAGTCATTTAAAGCCAGAAAACATTTCTAAACTAATAAGAATTCTTTTTGAGATAATAATGATTTACTGATACAAGTCCTACTAATTAATTCATAACTAGGGTTAGAAGAAGTGGATTCATATCTTTCCCAAGCTTTCCCTAACCCCTACCATAGCTGACGGGGGGGGGTGAGTAGTTGTGGATTCATACCTTTCCTAAGAGTATTTGTGTATAAGTAAATATAACGAACTCGACTGGAATTGGAACTCGGATGTCCGATTTCCATTTTCGTGACGTTATCCATTACACCACCCGTACATCAAAGTTTACAGCACCTGTTATTGCCGCGTGGTCACCCATCTAGGTACTGACCAGGTTCCACGTTGCTTAACTTTGGTGATTGTACGAGAATGGACGTTTCAACGTGATATGGCCGTAAGCATTTTAATGTAAGTTATGTAGCTTGATTGTCCATAAAATGATCGTCATTAGTAAATATTAAGCGAAATCTTATTTGGAAAATATCTACGAGATTATATTCTCTACTCTACACACTCCAGAATCCTTGAGCAACAATTGTTCCAAAATGCTCCTTAAATTGTTTAAATTACTCTGGCACAAGGCTAATTGAAGAAAATAAGGGTTAGGGAGATTATGTTACACAAATCTTCCCGATATGGAGGGTCTAACTGAATTGAAAATTAGCCTTCCAAATCCGATCTTTATAACTAAGTTTGTATACACACCACTGACGATGTTAAAAAGCAAATAATCATCAATCTCGAGACATAAAACAGATTGCGTATCCTAAAACGATTAATAAAACCTTTACTTCCCGAGTAAGAGTCAGATATTTTTGCCCTTACACTTTTCCAATGTTTAAATGATTTAGAAGTAGTCAGGATGCTATTGTCCGAACCTAGAGAATCTACTTCAGTAATATTCCTCATAAACCTCGTGACTTTAATAGTCAATTCTTCTCAATTGCTGTCCAATCAAAGTTTGGAATGTTGATTTTAAAGTCAGGCAGAACGACAGATAGGTAAGCCTTCCCCATTTGAAAGATTGGTGGTACACAATCTTCCACTACCTGTTCTTTTCTCGATTTTATTATACGATATACTGAGTTCAGCTTAGTAAATAATTATTCCCAGTATTCAATGCAAGAAGTGAAGATTTGGTTGTTTCTCGGTGGAAAAGGGTCGGTGTTGGAACGAAATAAAAGCAAGTATTTCGAATGTTGATTTCTTTAAAGCATCAGACTCTTCCCATTTAGAGGATTGGCGTAACACGATCTTCTTAATTTAAATTAGGCCTTGTGCCGTACTAAGCTAAGCTTAGCAAATATAATCTAATTTGAATCCAGAAGAGCCAGTTGAATTTTCTAGGATATATAATGAGGAAAGAGGGATCAGACAATTTGACATTCACAGGACATATTGAAGACAATAGAAACATAGGGAAACTGCGGGTAACCTGCCTAATGGGCGTGTGTAAATGGACGGCAGAACAGTGAAAATACAAGAATAAGAAGTTGTGGAGGCCTTGATCATTCACGTCCTGAAGAAGAAGAAGAAGAAGAAGAAACGTGTTTAAGCTGTGGTGTCAGTAATTAGCGTCTAAACAAAAGTAAAAAAAAAATAGGATTACAAGGATGGATTCTTGTGGCAGGCACCGGTCTTGGAGGATTGTTGGAATACAATATCCTTATCCGGGTTTGGTCTTGTGCCATGTCTCGCTAAGTTCCGTAAATATCTCGAGGCATTAAGTTGCACTGAAAATGGTACTCATGTTAACAAAAAGAATAACATGAAAATCCAATCAACAAACATGTGTCTGCGTTTTGGTTTACACAATTTCTGCTGAAATTGGGATATAAATGCCTTGGGCAGCCGAGAAACATCTGGTGTTTAACTTGTTTGTTATATCGTCCGTTTCAGTCCGATTCAGGGAACGATTATGTTGATGGCTTCGGGGCAACATTTTTGATAATTTTGCACTCAAGATTAATTTTACAAGCAGGGAAACACAGCTGCGGAATATGAAAATCCCAAAAGTCAGTAAAGGCTATGGTAACAGAGACTGTATAGAAACGGTAATGCCGGCGGTTAAAGAGACACTAGAAACATAAATAAGAGAGATGATAATACCGACAGTAAAAGACACATCAAGAAAAAAGTTAAAGTCCACAGTAAAAGAGAAAGTAGAAACGCCGGTAAAAGTAATGGTAAGATCGATGGTAATAGAAATGTTAAAGAAAACAATCAGAGACAGTAATAGCAACAATTAGAGAAATAGCAATAGAAATGGCAAGCAAGCCAGTAGAAGTTACGGTAAGAGTGTGTGCATAGCGCGCAGGTAACAGACATGTTTTCATTCATTCATTTTCTACCGGTTATTAACCCTTTCCAGGTTATTTGAATATTTTTAAATAGTAAGAATTTGGAGTCGTGGAGATAATAATGGTTTAGTGATGCAACTCCTACTAATTAACCCACTGCTGGGGCGAGAAGAGGTGGATACATATGTTTCCCAAGGGAATATAATGAACTCAAAGAGAATTGGAATTCGGTTCTCTGATTATCAATTACGAGGTATAATCCATTACAACACCCGCACATCCAAGTTTACACCACCTGATATTCCCAAATGGTCACCTCTCTAGGTACTGACCAGGATCGTCGTTGCTTAACTTCAGTAGTCGTACGGGAACCGGTGTTTCAACATGATGCAGTCGTAAACCAGGAAACTGACAGTTGTAGTCGATTAGACGGAAGATTATGATCGATATAATATGGTTTGTCATTGGGACAATGAGCACACTCTCTATTTCTGGGTGCCATTTTAAGTGTATCCCTTTGGGAAACGTTTGTTTTTTGTGTTTTCATAACACACACACACACACACACACACACACACACACACACACACATATATATATATATATATGTGTGTGTTGTTTGTGTATATATATATATATATATGTGTGTGTGTGTGTGTGTATATATATATATGTGTGTGTGTGTGTGTATATATATATATATATATATATATATATATATATATATATATATACACAACACACACATATATATATATATATATATATATACGTGTGTGTGTGTTCGTGTGTATATATATATACGTGTATTTGTGTATATATATATATATATATATATATATACGTGTGTGTGTGTTTGTGTGTGTGTATATATATATATACGTGTGTGTGTTTTTGTGTGTATATATATATATACGTGTGTGTGTGTTTGTGTGTATATATATATACGTGTGTTTGTGTATATATATATACGTGTGTTTGTATATATATATATATATATATATATATATATATATATACGTGTGTTTGTTTGTATATATATATATATATATATATATATATATATATATATATATATATATACAACAACTTCGGTTCTCGAACGTCTCACATATCGAACAAATTGGTTTTCGAACAGAAAATTCGAGATGAAAATAATTTCTTACTCGACTGCCGTGTTGTATACATTCGCGTGTTGTGGCGTACTTTTCTTTTCCAGTTTTATTGTACTGTGACTTTTTTTTTCTTTGCATTGAATCCTATTGGGAAAAGTTTCGGTTTACGAACATTTCGGGTTACGAACGGCATTCAGGAACGTATTAAATACATGTACCTAGGATCCACTATACATATGTTGTTTCAAAATCATTTATTGGGATGAATGGTCAATTTCGGTGTTAGAAAATGAGTGGCTATAAACAGTGTGGACATAGAAATGAACAATGCATGTTGACTGCCTGTTTAATGCCGCAAGCAATCATAAATCTCATGATCGTTTAAGGCGAGGATCTTTTAGATAATGCTCTCGTAAAAGAAACGAAATGACAACACGTGAATAAAGACTTTTAAACATCGAACTGGTTTTCACAAATTCCTTCTTACATAATTTATTCGGATTTTCATATCAATCGCTTATCACTCACAAATATACACATATACATACATATATATGACTAGCTTAAAAGCTGCCCTATCTGGCGTCATTTAAGCTAGCTCTCTGCGGAGGCCAAACAACGGCACTTCATGCATTGAATATGTATTAAATTTTATTAAACTTTTTCAAACAATTAACAGTTTTCATGAAAACAATGATATAATTTGTCTATTTGAAACTTATTGCAAAGCTGTATGATAGCGTTACCTTGTTTCCATTCACAAACCATGCACTACCAACATAGAGCTGGCTGCGAGAAAAGCAGGGTTCCATCAGATGAAGTCCAGTTACTTTCAATGATTGTCCTTGGGACTTATTGATTGACATTGCATAGCACACTCTCACTGGAAACTGAAGTCTTTTGAACTCAAAAGTAAAATCTGGAGGACTTATGGGGATTCTTGGAATTAAAATTCCTCCTTTCCTGGACAAGTAAGAAGAGATATTTGAAGTCAGAGAATTGTGTCCCTTTAATTGAAAATGTGGGACACACAGAGATTTTCGCATTTATTATATAGATAAATATCTTACCTCTCTCTCTCTCTTTCTCTCTCTACATATATATATTGAATATATGATAAATATATATGTATATGATAAATGTCCCATATATATATATGTAAATTTATATATATATATATATATATATCCAATATATATATATATATATATATATATAGAGAGAGAGAGAGAGGAAGACAGAGAGAGAGGGGAAGAGAGAGAGAGAGCAAGAGAGAGAGGGAAGAGAGAGAGAGCAATGGATAAATTGTCACCATTTTATATTGTTAATTTCGTGCATGCGCGTAGGTTGCTTTTGATTTTATCGGCACCAGTTGGGTACTGTCTTTGAAAAAAAGAGTACTATGACACAATTCACTCCGCCAGAAATTTGGAATTGGCTGCATAGAATTCGTGCTGAAAGCTCAAATACGAACATTTCAGCGTCTTTGGGTGTCAATCTGAGGACAGTGCATAAATTTCGGAAAGAGTTGGAGGAATCTAATGGTGATTACGAAGGTGTTTGGTGCGATCAGTAGAGATGGCGGCGTTATGCCTCCATTCATCTTCCCACTGGGCCTCAGACTCAACATGGAGGCCTACATCAAGTGCCTCGAGAAAGTAATGCTGCCCTGGGTCAAGAGGGTGGCTGCTGGAAGATGTCATGTCTGGCAGCAGTACTCTGCACCATGCTACACAAGCAGAAAAACTAATCCATGGCTGTCACAATTTCTGCGAACCTTATATATGGCCACCTATCTCCCCAAACGGCGACTCCCTTGATTATTATGTGTGGGCGCGTTTGAGCGCGAGACCAACAAATCTCCTTGTAACACGGAAGGCAAGTATTATAGAAGCATTGACTAACTTAAACAAGGAAACCTCCCACAAGAGTTGCAGGAAATTTCCGAAGTCGTCTGGAGGCACTGGTTTTATTTTTTGAATAAATTTACACTTTCATATTTCTAGATATTTTAGTGTAATTTTGGTAAATATATCTGTTAAAATGAGATTTCAGTGTCATTGTCATTTTTACGTAATTTAGACGAAAATTTCATCGAACTATATATATATATATATATATATATATATATATGATGAAGATGTTACATACGGACAAACAAGTACTCACGCCAAAAATGGAATTTTGTTTCGATGCGAATACATCTCGGCAGGAACAAAGATCGTTACAAACGATTCTATTTAAAAATGGTCCTTAGGAAACCTCACTTTCTTCTTTTCAATATTCATTTTTTTTTTATATAAGGAGACACACCATAAAGAAGAAGAAGAAGAAGAAGAAAAACAGGTAAAAGCCAAGAGAAGAGGGTAAGAAGACAATAAAAAGAAAAAAAGGGAAAGAAGAAATGCAAATATAAGTGTGAAGAAAAATTAAAAGACAACACGTGATAACTTCAAAGAAAAAGAAGTAAAAAAAAAGAATCGAATAGAATAAAAAACGAATAGGAGAAAGATTTACATGAAGAAGAAAAAAAACGGCAAAAAGGAGAAAGAAAAAGAAAGAAAAAAAGAAAGAAAGAGAAAAGAAAAGAATGAACAAAGGGAGGCAGTATGTGTAGTTGATAACAATTCAACCAAGGAAAAACGTTAACATTAAGATATATATATATATATATATATATATATATATATATATATATATATATATATATATATATATATATATTGCTCGGCTTTCTGGAATCCGATCTGCACTGTTATAAAATTAATTCAAAATTACCAAAGGACTACAACTATTGTTAGGATATTTCACATCAATCATTTATCTTTATCTCTCTCTCTCTCTCTCTCTCTCTCTCTCTCTCTCTCTCTCTCACACATACACATATGCACATATATATATATATATATATATATATATATATATATATATATGATACATATATATATATATATATGTATCATATATATATATGATATATATATATGATATATATATCTATGATATATATATAGGGTTGGAGAGACACGTGTGTGTAGACGAGGAGAAAGTTACTTTTAAGACACTCAGAAAGTCTTTCCTGACACACATATTGCAAAAAAGGGTATGCAGGCGTTAGGCTGGTTTGCAAATTCATGGCAACACAGTTCAACGTTGAACAATTGTAGTTTTTTGCTATTTTTAAGAATTTAAAATTTCGAAATCCTTCACCATAAATTTACGTCTATCATCATCCAATATATCTCGTTTCTTAACAAAACAATTACTACTACAATATCGGGTATTTAAAAATAATAGCGACAAAACTAAAAACAAATCCGATGGAAATTTGTGTGAATTGGGCTACATCGAATGCTTAAAATGTAAATTTAAAACTAAGCGCCCCTATATCTTCTAATTGTAACCAATGATTATAGTATTTCTTCCCTCATCCATATATATATATATATATATATATATATATATATGTGTGTGTGTGTGTGTGTGTGTGTGTGTGTGTGTCTATATATATATATATGTGTCTATATATGTATGTCTATATATGTCTATGTATCTCTTTCTCTCTCTCTCTCTCTATATATATGTCTATATATATATATATATATGTATATATATATATGTCTCTCTCTCTCTCTCTCTCTCTCTATATATATATATATATATATATATATATATATATATATATATATATATATATGTATGTATAAAGAATAAACTTTATACATATTGTCTTTTTCTACAGGTTAACGCAGAAATTTTTCACATATATATATATATATATATATATATATATAATAACAAAAAAAACAGTCAGATTCATAATCCAGAGTACTTTAGCATTTTTTTTTTAAAAACAGTGCTCGATAGACAGTAGAGCATAATATTATAATTATTTTTTTAATAAAATGTTTCTATTGCGACATGGAAATTACTATGTTTCGAAACCGAAATTTAAATCTTAAATTAAACTTAAAATTTGAACTTCAGTTTTATTTTCAAGCGATGCTGTGAATAACCCTCGAAAAAACTGATTTAGAAGCCAAATAATATTATATATTTTAAGTTGGTTGCGCAATGGGAATTCAGAATTTTTTATTAGGGTGTATAGGCTTTTTTACAAATGAAGTAACCAAGTGTATTTTTATGTGGCAAATTTAAAGTAGGTTAAGATTAAGTGGGTGTTTGAGATTTCTGTCTGCTGATACTGACTTCTTTTCAAGCGATCATGTCATCACAGTCTTTTTTTCTTAATTTTATTTAGAGTTATAT